ATACCTAAAATTACTGAAACCAACTTTGAGAAAAAATGATTAAAAGTGTGACTTTATAGTTTGGTCCATGTCCCATCCACTGATATGGAGGAGGCAGAGTTTATCACCTATACTGAAGCCAGACACCAGGGGGTGAACAAGATGATTTGGCTTCACTTTTGGAAACAGTCTAGGCTCCATAAAGTGGCTGTATAAACTGTACTTTTAGTTTTGTCTTTAAAGATAGAAATTCTATCTGAATTGTTCCAGTTCTATTCTCTCTTCACCTCCTCTGGTTTCAAAAGTAGTGCTGACATTTGTGGCTACTTAATTCTCTCCCTCCCTCTATCCCTGCGAGAGAACACCAACTGACACCCAGCTGGGCGGAAGCAGCTTCTTCTTCGGCAAAAGCTCCACGCCATCTCCGTCTTTTGAAGCCTGAAGGAGGAAGTCACCCACCAGGCACTCAGATCCCATATGGGCGCTAGCAGTCTTTGAAATAATGAACAGCAAAAAAGAGGCAAGAAGCGACAGAGCATGGAAGGGATAGTCTTCATGTGTAAATGTCAGAGGGATTAGTGTGTGAATGTACATAGCATTACACGTGGCAGCTGGGTAATGAAATGTAACCAGACTGGTAGAAAAGTCTCTAAAATCCAGGTGATAATATAACTGACACGTTAAAGATTAAGAGCGCAAGCATTTGACATTATGTCTTCATGTGTCCCAGTGTCCTGCAGACACGTTGAAATTACATTATGAAATGCAGATTTACTTTGTGCGTTGTACATGTGTGTACATGTCCCAACATCCTAACAAGCTAATCAGTTAGTAATCACCTAATCAGTTTCAGTCTCATCTGCAGCAACATCAAAACAGCAATCAGATTATCTCCCCATTGATTCTGAGCACCGACTCAGCAGATCAACATGCTGCGTATGTGTTCAGCAGCTGTGCGGAACGATCACCAATGGGCCAGATGTTGCATCTCGTTCCTCAATAACAGTGAAAATGAACTGGATTGATTAGAAATCCCATCTGCTGCACTACAGCACCGTGTTATGGAGCGCCCTTCATTAGAGAGGGAGTTTACCCAAGGCTGAGTGTTCATAGGCTGTCTCAGGTTATATAAGAGGTGCTGAGAGGAAGAGGTGAAGCACCAGTCTGCTGAGTGTTGGCACTGCGGAGGTACAGATTAGCCTAAAGCAGAGGAAAGGGATGGGAGAGGTGAGTCGGACAGAAACGCACGAGTGGGCTGCAATCAATTAAAATGCACGGTAGCGACGGGGGAGATGGTCAAGCATGTTGAAGAGTGGTACATTCAAACATTTTTCGGAACAGGTGAAAAAGTTAATTTGCTAATGCATTTTCACAAGTGTTGAGCACAAGGGCGGCCATTCAGCTTTAAAACTTCACAAGCAAAAAAAACAGCTTTTTACTCAATGAATCCCATGAGCTGAAATATAAAATAAATCATCCTTCTTAACCAAAACTGTGCACCACAGACTCTTCCCATGGGCACACACATCTCAAAGGCTGACATGAAGTGGCAAGATATTCACTTTTACTAATGTCACTTACATGAGTTCATGACACCACAGAAATATAAACAATACATGTAAGAGAGAGAGAGAGAGGTATAAGGAGTCATAGTAGGAAACAGATGCCTCAAATTGCCTCAAATTGGCTGTTTGTACATTCTCTGTTGCAGCAATGAATGATAATCACTCACACACATTATCACACTGCAGACTTTGGCACCTGTAGACAAACGTGTCATCATCCTGAGCCCTAGTTTACAAAAGGAGGGTACTTTCATCCCAACAATGATTAATATGTCAGTCAATCTGTTGCTTCAAACATATATAGCGTCAGTGTTAAGACATGGCACTCTGTTGCAGGGCCGTTGGTTGACTGAGATCAACAGATGTTTTTTGGTGAACAGGAAGTGGACAAAGGTGTGCTCTTCAGTATTGTCCGTTTTGTTCTCAGTACAAACTTAAGGCCTAAAGGCTATTTTAATCTTCTGTGTCCATGATTTACCTTTGCTAAGAAGGTTATGTCTTTGTTTGTTTGATTGGTTTGTTAGTTAGCTGAATTACACAAAAACTACCGGATTGATTAATATAAAACTTGGAGGAAGGATATGGCATAGGTCAGGAAAGAACCCATTTAATTGTGGTGCAGATTTGGTTCACAGGGCGGATCCAGGAATTGTTTTCATCACTTTCTTTAACATCTTGAGCGTTTCTTGACATTTTGGTTGATTTTTCACAGAATGATTCATGGATCCTGAGGAAAAAACATGTTGGGAACTGATTTCCTGTGTGTAATGTGTTGTAGAGTCATTGAATTAAAGGTACTGTGGGACTTTGGTGGAGGTATACGCACGCTACTATTTGTTCCTGCTTTGATGCAGTGTCACCACAGCACAGAGGATATTTATAGAGAAGAATGTATTCTCTTTAATTTAGCTGTCTCCTGGCCGGCTGCTTGTTGCATGTTTTTACTGAGACTTTTCTTCAAGCAGCTTATTATAATTCATGTTTTTTTGCATGGCAACGTACTATGACCTTCAGTGGCCAATTATTATGACGTGAGCAAAGACGGCAGAGTCCCAAGTCCGTGTTAGGATGAGGAGGACATGGTGGATGGGTCAACAAAACTAACAAAAGTACATACACACAGAAGGCTGTTGTTTGTTTCCATATGAAACCTTAAGTCAGGGCTGTTTTGTTTATCCATGACTTTTCCATAACCATCAGCATAGGTTTTTTCTTGTAACCATGACTACAAAGGCTCTGTTACCTTAAGGAGGTCCTTAAATTTTAAACAAACCACAATCTTCTCCTGAATCGAACCAACTATTTGGTTAGACCAAACATGACCTTCACACAAGGTTACCTATGATTTTTTTCATTGCTACTTTGTCAGCGAAGGCCTGCAGCTGTCATGAGGGTTATCTGAGGAAGAGGACAAGTCCCCTTTTAAGATTGTTTAAAATGGAGGATTTGTTGTTTTTAGGAATGAACGGCGAGCTGGCATTACCTGGCAAAACCATCTGCCATCAATAGTGAGCAAGAATGCATTGATCCAAGCCACTTTAAATTTAGATTTTAAGCACTTGTTTACTCTCTTGTGAGTATTGAGCTTCTTATCAAGGCTGCTGTCAGCACTGAATTTTTTAATATCTCAGGGTTTGAACAACCTGGGGTGGAATTCACTTTCTACATTTTAGGCAATGAGTCTGTTTTTCTGTTTGAGTCACACTTCTTTCAAAACAATACTTTGAAATCCAGTATATTAATTATCTACATTTTCACCAGAATTCAAAAATTATTTCTGGAATTGTGGAATTGCTTTGTGACTGACAATTTTGCAGAAAATTTCATTCGTCAACTCACCAAGAGTTGTCTCCAGCGATGGAAACCAACACCTTTGTTAACTATGTGTTCCATCATTTCTTTGCTTCTTTTGAAGATAGCATTCTAACCAGCTAGGCCCACCCAAACTGCCCATCTCATCACTTACCAGTATCGAGTCACTGTAGTGTTCATTCTGAACAATTAATAACAATAACGACTTTGACTATCATTAAATTAATTGGACTCAAACACATTCTGTATTCTGTGAATTCTGTGAATGAACAATGAAGCATCTCGTCACCTCTGAAAACAAAATTATGATTAAGAACCACCTCCAGAACAATACTGAAATCTACTTTTAGGAATCAATGCATAAGCTGGTGAACTACATTGGAAACAGAAGGCGAAGGACCACAGAATCTTTGTTATGTCTGTTTCTCCTTCTCTCATCCTCAGATCTGTGACAAGGAGTGGCATTACTACGTCATCAATGTGGAGTTCCCAGTGGTGACGCTCTATGTGGACGGAGTGACCTACGACCCCTACCTGGTGACAGACGACTGGCCCATCCACCCCTCACAGATTGATGTGCAGCTGACAGTCGGGGCCTGCTGGCAAGGTGGGTGGGCAGAGCCACTTAGAGTCAGTTCATTATTTTAATAGAGTTAATTCATCCTGGAATTAATAAAAAATTAAACAATTTAGCTGAAACAGAAGTTTCAATATAAAAATCACAGGAGAATGAGATATTTGGGGCTTTTCCCTGCTGATTGAATTCTGCGTCTGTCTGTGGGCAAGTTCAAGAACATACATAATACTGTCTGATGTACTGTTATTAAAGGAGCTATTGAATGTTGAACATGTTTTCTGGCCCTGAATGAACAATGTAATTATAAGAAGAGCACTTAGTCTGCCTTTGACAAACAGTTGAACCAGTCTGAATGAAGGCGTACAATTACACTGTCCTCCAAAGTGATAGCTGCCACTAATTGCACAAGGGCAGAGTAAAGGGCACTTTTTCACACGGTACCAACTTCCCCTGATTTGATTGCCCAAATGAGACTGCTCAACGATGCTTAGCCTCCGATGAAGAGTCCTGATATCTCTCCGTGCGGTAGCAGGAACAGGAGCAGGCTATCTTGCGATGCTTTCAACTGAGGCGGTGACAACCCGCACCCAATACCCAGCTCATTCTCCTCCTCCCCTCCCATTTCTTTCATTGAACATGTGCGAGCCCTGAGGAGGATTAAAAGGGCCTTGAATAGAGGAAGGACTTCAGAGACATATGTCTGCTCCTCTAGTTCGGGGATAAGCCTCTGAAACGAGTTGTAAAGGCAATACTGATCTTAAAATAAGCCATTATCCACAGCAGGCTGCCTTTTCAAAGCAAGGAAAGAGGCATTTAAGTGTCCAGCATCTTGATTGCAAAAATGAGCTTGCCTATTGTCCAACCGGCTTATGGTTGCTCTGAATGGGGATTTTTTGTTCCTTTTTTCTTTTTTTTTTGCTATAGTAAAAAGGAATTCAGCATATGCTGTGAACCATCCGATTGCAATGTCTGGTGTGTTTTCCCTGGTGTTGGCATGTGATGATTTAGAGTTCAGACAGGATATGACATGATACAGCATGGGATGGCAGAGTAAATAAAACATTTGTCAGCTCAAAGCAGTGGGGTTGCATGCAACAGTGATATTTTGCAATATTTAATTAAATTTCATGATGGAGTTTCATGGTTCATAACACTTAACTGGCCTGTCAGCATTGTCTAATAGAAATTGATTCTGTCCTGACCACAGTTAATGAATATAATTTAGAATAATCATATTGCAGATATTTATCCAAAGAAGCCATTCCACCGTGCTGTGGTGAAATTTTACAGCTTTAGTCAGTGTGTAAATTTTTTGCAATGAATCCTGCTTCAGTCTCCTATTATGGGCCGCTAACTAACATGAATCAGCTTTTATTAGTAGAGTTTTACACCTCGTCTACACAGTCAGCATAGTGTGAGCAGCAGCTGCATGAGCTTATGGTGCCTGATATTGGATGTATCATGTGGACTTATTTTTACTGCTTTTGGTTTGTTGTTGTGTGTAATAAGTTAGTTTCTGATTTTGGTGCAAACTTAAATTTGGCAGCACCCTAAAGGATCAATTATGCTAATGTTAGATTGGTCCAGCCAATGTATCGGTGGGACCTTAGCACAGTGACTCCATGTCCTGATTGCTGTTGTGCAGACTCTTACACTGTTCTTAAAAGAACAAATATATAAAACGTTTGTGTTTGATACCTGTTTGTGTACAAAACACTGCGTTGCTCATTAATGTACATAAATCATACTGGTGTGACCCATTGCTTCAACAAGGCACTGAATTCTCTGACCACAATGATTGAACTTTTTCATTCAGTCCTATTGTCTAATTCACCACCCAGAGTTCACCACCCAGCCTCCCTCCTTGACCTTGGAGAGTAAGTGCTATCTGTGCACTTTTCACACAGTCAACTTACATTTTACCCTCTGACCTTGTGGAGTTTGTTCATGTTCAGAAGGGTGAGACAGTCAGACAGCAAAGAGCAACACAGTCACCTCACCTCATTCTTCTTTTTCCTCAGCTGTGTAATCGCACACTGTTGCATTGACTCTCCAGCTTCGAGCAGAAAACAGGCAGCAGGAAGTGTTGATGGTTACATACAAGCACAAATTGAAACAATTAATAATGAATACACAATAAGTATCTGTATATAAACAGTGTAATGGATGAATACAGGCAGACAGCCTCTAATGCAGGTATATGTACAGTAAATCACACAGTAAGCATATCTCTCACACGTATACTTAAAGGTACGGTGTGTAGAATTTAGTCACATCTAGTGGTAAAATTGCATGTTGCAGCTGAACACCCCTCACCTCACCCTCCCCTTCACAGGGGGCCGAGAACCTGTGGCAGCCTTCCGTTGTCATAAAAACTCAAAAGGTGTTTAGTTTGTCCAGTTTGGACTAATTTAAAAAACATGGCGGTCTCCATAAAGAGGACCCCCTCGATGTAAATATAAAGTATTTGTGTAAAAGGTTAATTCTGGGGTAATAAAAACAACAATTCATACAATTTTGATGAAACACACTCGTGAAAACATCATGAGGATTATTTTATATTCAATTTGTGCCAATAGATCCCTTTCACCTAAATCTTACACACTGAACCTTTCAGTAATGATCCTGCTATGATCCCATGCCTCGGCTCATTCATCTGTTGCTCCTCTGAAAATGACGCAAATATTGCAGAGTAAAGAAGAGAGTGAAGATCTATAGAGCAAGGAGGGCTGCACAGCAGAGTTGACACCAAATAAAAACCAGTCTCTGTAAAGTGGGATGATCAGCTGTTTTATCACCCGTATCATTCCCGCTCCACAGCGTCTCAGTAATCCCCTCTCCTCTGCTTTTCTTTTTTTACCCTCTGTCTGAGACCCTTAATGGTTTCTCTGGCCAAGGCCAAAATTGATAACATCTGTCCGGAAGGGACTGAGTGAATAGGTGGATATCTAGAGAGAGGAGAGAGGAAAATAAGGGAAGTAAATAGTAACTACTGGAAGGAGTGGAGAAGGTAAGGGAGCAGGTGAAGCATAAAGAAAGAGGCAAGAATGGATTCTGTGCTTTGGCATAGTTTGTTATATGAGAATCCAAATGTGACTCTGTGTTTTTATGAGATAGACTCCACTCCCCTGATTATCTGGTACCTGGCAGGTATCGGCACGCGCAGGAGACGGCTTTAAATATGCAGGAGGCAGCTTTAAATATGTAGGAGACGGCTTTAAATATGCAAGAGGTGGCTTAAAATACACAAACAGGTGTGGTTATTGTTCTGAATTGAAACAAGAGTTGAACAGGCAACAATCCAGTGACGAGTAAGTGAGATCAGAGTGGACCTAACACACTTCACACAGAAGTGTGAATAATGTCCTTTACAGCATATTTTGATTGCAGAAACACCAACATGATCCATAACCAATACATTTGGTTTACACAGGATTTTTACAGTGCATGAAATTGAGTGTTCATGGCTGTTTGCTTGTCATCGTTTCCATTGTGCACCGCAGATAAGACAGTTTGCAGTGATAACAGTGGCAGATTTACCATTTGGAGTTCCTAGTAAATTTTGAAACAGTGGGTCCACAATGTCAAACAAAGACTCCTCTTTTTGAGAAGTTGTCGATTTTGCTGCTGAAATGTCATCGGGGGGGTTGTCAGCTTAAGATACCTAAATATAAGCTTCATGACTTGGTTGTTGTAACAAAATAATAATGTATAAGAAGTCTTTTTAGCACTTTAGACCCAAACACTTGATATTATCCTCCTTGTTCTTGTGTCGCATGAATTAGGTTAAGTCCTATATTATTCATGTGTGATAAAAATCAGACAGTAAGGGGAAGGAGTGGGAAGTTTGATAGCTGCCCCCATATGTCTAAATATACTCAGTGTATTTTTATATCTTCCCAGTTAAGACAGGCAGGTGGCAAGCTACTGGGTTAATATGGTCCCCTGTGTACCTCACTGGTAGGACTCTGCTATCTGCTCTAGGGGTAATAAGGGAGCTCTACTCAACTAGCCATAGAGGGCAATGTAGCTGCAGGTCAGCAATCGTAGATATGGTTCTAAAGTCGAAGGTCTGCAGTGCATTTCTGTCACTTTTTCACACCAGGGAAGTAAGGCATGATAAAGTGTTTCCAGCGGTGCTCCCAGCTGTGTCTCCACCTGCACTGGTTGACTCTTTCAGAACCTAGAAAAATAACCGAGGGAAGTGATGAATGTGTCTGTCGCATCAGCAGGAAATTATTGGAACCTGGGTCAAGCTTGGCGCTGTCTGATAACGTCAAGGTTTTTATTTTTTTTTGAATGAGTATTTCCCCAACCCCACTTACTGTTGAATATTAAAGAGTACTTCCTCCTGTCACCAACTGGATTGTCTGTCCCACGGAATGATCTCTTCCAGCTGACACTAAGAAAGAAAGTAGCTGGTGGATTGGAAGTGCACTGGAATTGCTGTAGTAAACTCATAGACTGTATATAAAGAGAGTAAACTACACCCTCAGCTCATGGTAGACATCTTGAATACCAATGCCACAGTCTTGTATGTGTCAACCGGTTTACCAACATAAAACTATAAAGGTTTAACAAGAAGGGCACTATTGACCAGGGTCTTAGAGCTCTAGTGTTTGGATATATCCATTTCTTTCCTCTCATCTTTCAACCCCCGCAGATGATGGTAATGTTATGAGAATTAATGTTACAAACAAGCATACTGTCCATTGAGACAAACTGTGGTTGGGGCAGACTAAGTGTGATCAGGGAAAGCTCTGCTTGCCAAGAAATGTAAGGTTTACAATTTTAGTTATAAAATTTTTAAGCCATGAGGGTCAAGCATTAATGGTTGAAACACTCATGTCTTGCTCCTGGCAGCGCTGAGGCAAGATTTTGACTCATGACAGGGGAGCAGAACAGCAACTGACAGATTTTTGCTTTCACTACTTTGGCCTTCAACCCAGCTATCACCCACGGGTCCTCCAGTGCCCACATATGACCCTTCAGGTTGTGCCAGTGACACCCATCTGCCACAGCCTTACAACATGACTGTATAGTTTGTCAACTCGTGGGACCCAGCTAGAGTTATATTTGTCTGCAGTGTGACAATGATTGAATCTTGAGCGGAGCTGCCCAGTCTGCTTTTTATGGCCACAGAAGAAGGAATTAGGCCACACTGGCTTCATTAGAGTGATTAGATGGGAATAATCAGGAAAAGATTTGCAGAGCTGGCAGGAACCGATATGAATTGTGCATAGAGCCTCTTGAGGTAGAATCATTTCTACAGATGGTTCACCATATGCATAGGTTGAGGGAGTCCAAATTGCTAAGCAGTAAAGGGTATTTGGGAGGTCACTCAATGCACCCAGATTGTTTTTGAGCTAGAAAATAAAGAAAGGTGTGTACAGGGTGTGTTGAAGGTGAACCATTAGCAGCTGGCTATAAGGTCAGAAGGCAGTTTAGAACAACAGGGGAGCTACTTTCATGTTCCACTCAACTTTACCAGCCCAGTTGATTAAGGAACATAGAGAATGTGCCTATAATGCCAAGGTCCTAAATAGAGCGACATTCAAATGATTGAGTTCTTCTCTTCCTCCCATGCTGGTGTTGATTCCAACAGTGGGGCTTAAGACCACTCCCCCAAGTTGGAATATAAGAGCTAAAATCTAGGTTGCAGTAGTGTAGCAGCTGTAGATACCTGAACTAGTTTGGAGCATATGTATGAGAGCAGTGTCAGGGAGGTGCAGAGAGACACCAGACAGACACATTGATATAGAGCCAGAAAGACTGCCCGTCAGTCATGGCTCCACTGCATCCTCCAAATGTGTTTGATGAATTAACAAGGACAGATCTTTTTTGATAATTAATCTTATTACATGAAGGAACTGCTCTATACATTCAATGCTTTGATGCATTAATGCCAGGAGAGGAAGAGGAAGTGAGGAGATACTTAAAAGAAAGGAAGGGAAGGTGGAAGGTGATGCTTTGATACCTGTCAGCTAATGAGTCTTCAGAGGGCGTACATTAAATCTGTTGACTTTTCCTTTACCCTTATTTAGCTTGGATGGGCCAGCCTGGGTAACATTTGCACTTTTACAGCTGCACTCAGCTGCAAACATCCAAAGGCCAATTATAACCACAATTTCTTCATCAGGGCTCATGATTAACGTAGAGACAAACATGACACCATGGTAGTGATTACTGTACATTAACCTTAACCCGAAATATATGTCTATACTACTTAGATGTTCAGTGATGCATTATATTGCAGGGTATGAAGGCATTTTCTGAAATATTGTACTATGTGTGTATGGTTATGTGTGTAGGTGGGGAGGTGACCAAGCCGAGGTTCACTCAGTATTTCCGGGGCAGCCTATCCGGACTGACCATCCGACCAGGGAAGATCGAGAGTCAGAAAGTAATTTCCTGTCTGCAGGCCTGCAAAGAGGGACTGGACATCAATTCCCTTGAGAGCCTGGATAAGAGCATAAAGGTAGCCACACATACACAAAAACACACACTTTGATCCTAGTTGATGCAAGAATACTGTTTCTGTAAATCACCACAGCTGAATTGGCAATTGGCTTCCCCACCCCTTCATATCCAGCCACCCACCAAAACCCAATGCTTTCTATCAAATTTAATCTTTTTTTCCCCTCTCTCTTGAGCTTTTCTGTCCATGGAGCTCATGCTGTGCTACAGCAAAGGGAGGCTTGCCAGCATCTTGACGAGACAAAATGGCATGAGGTGGCGGATTTGGAAGAGGAGGAAAACTTCTCTAGGGTCTAGTGTATTTTTATCTCTTCACTAGTCTGGCTCCCATTATTCCTGGGGGTTTGGGGGTGGGGGTTCAGGACAGCATTTAGCCAAACAGGTGGAGAGCGCAATCAGAGGAGGATTGCATGCAGGGAAGGAGAAGGTAGAGGCAGGTAGCAGCAGGTACGTATAGTGAAAGAGAACAGAAAATGAGAGCAGACAGCAGGAGGAGAAAAGGTGTGAAGGGGAAAATGACAGAGGACATTGAGTGTGTGGGGAGTCCCATGGAGTGCTGAAGTACTGACAACCTGCTGCTGAGAACCATTTTAGAGACCTCAATGTAGATACAGCCCATTGGCTATACTTGTGAGTATACTTGTAAAGAGAGACAACTTATTATTCGCAGTGTTTCTTTGGTTTTGGGATATTTGATATGCTGTTGTTTCCATATTCATTATCTGACCTCACATTGGTTTCCATTCATTTCCATCCACTATGCAAATCCATCTGAAAAGGCCTGAAACCACCAGGGCTTCTGGTTGGATGGTAGAAGGGAGATGACCGTGTATCCAGAGTTGAGGTGGTGTAAGGCTGGAGAAGGGTCACTCATTGATCATGGTACAGAACCAGTGACTGAATTAGTGACAACAGACACAGCTTTTTTGAGAAGTGGGCTGTATTAAAATACTGTACACGAGTACAGAGAAGGAAACAGATAAAGACCTGACACCAGCTGGAAGAATGTAAAGTGATGTCATGAATATGCACATAAGCACATTGTGTTTCCACAAGTTTTAATCTACCTTTTTGATTTTGCACAGTGAGAACTCATGGTCCAATCATATAGGTTTTGATCTAGTCTTATTATCGTCAAAGTCACACTGCTTTTGCATGGGCAGGGCCAACGTGATGATGAGCAGGTTTCAAGTCCCTGGAAGCTGACAATCAGAACTCTGTTCAGTGAAACTAATAGAAATCAATGGCTGCCTGTTAGGAAGAAATAAAGTAACAATCACTTGCTAAACAGTGTTGACTGGTTAACATTTTCATGACCTCAAACTCACTCATTGACATGAGATATACATGTGTTTATGTTTAAATGTACAGTATGATGTGTTGAAGCTGCACAACCTTTCAGCTGTCAGCTCAATGTTGCATGTTTGTTTTAGGAGAGTTTGACGGGGCTCCCTGCAGATACTCCTGGATGGACCCTCTGCCGTCTTTCTTCCATTCGTTGTCAATGTCCATCTCATGTCCCTGGTTTCTCTTTCCACAGTTCCACTTTAACCCAGCCCAGTCTATACTGGTGATGGAGGGAGAGGACTTGGAGAACATGAACACTGCTGTGAGGAAAGTTTCCTACATCAACTCTCGCCAGTTTCCCACACCAGGCATTCGACGTCTGCGCATCTCCACGACCGTCCAGTAAGAGAAACATTTCCTTTTCTTTCTCTTTCTTGTCCTCGTAGTTAGTTTTCTGTACTTGTCCTCCTTTTCTTTCTTTCATATGTCCTACTACCTCTTTTTTCTCTGACTCTTCTCTCAGATATCAGAAGTGTTAACCTTGTTCAACACTTCTCTGTAGTGTTGAGACACAGCAGATATCATTTGTGTCTGACCGATCCAGTATTCCTATACATTCCTCTCTCTCTCTCTCTCTCTCTCTCTCTCTCTCTCTCTCTCTCTCT